TTGGTTATATATTATACATGTTTACTTAGCCTATTTCCAGTTTTGTATACCTATTTAAACTTTATGTAAGTTATTTGTTATTTTATATTAGGCATAGCCTGCCCTATAGCATGGTGTATTTTTATTTGTTTTGTTAATATAAGTTCTATATTTTATATATACGCTACAGTGAGTGACGTTGTTGCATTCAAGCAATTGATGCCTAACTGCCGCTAATTCAAAAGTGAAAGTAAAATGCGCACGGCGCTTTTAAAGGGGTCATATGATGCAATTTAAATTCAAACGAACTAAAAACGAACAATTGCTTTACGCCGAATTGCCGCTATTTCAAAGTGAAAGTAAAATGAGCACGCCGCTTTTACAAGCTATTTAAAAGCGAAGGAAAAGAGCGAACGCCCCCGCCCCCGCCCCGCCCCCACTGTGATACCGGTATTACCGGTGTTGTCACACTTCGATTAACCGGTGGGAAAATTTCCTCAGTGCAATAATCCCTACTGTGCAATAATCATGCTGTCTAATCAGCATCTTGATATGCCACACCTGTGAGGTGGATGGATTATCTCGGCAAAGGAGAAGTGCTCACTAACACCGATTTAGACAGATTTGTGAACAATATTATGTCATCGTTAACTATAATTACAGTACAGGTATTTCATAAATCATCCATTATTCCCATTAAACATAGAGTCTTACTTATGGTCCAACATCCCTGATCAAACCCCTTTGGCCTATAAACTAACAGAACCGTCAACTGAACAAAGTACACCGATTAGATACATTCATCTTTAAAAAAAAAAAATGTAAAAACAAATTATATTATCGCACTTTCTGATGTTTAACAAAATACTTGAATAACATGCTTTTCATCCTTTTTAAAGACCCCCCTACAAGAGTCATATTCCAAACTGTCACCTTTTTGACCTCTTGTGAGTTTGCAGGTATGTGTACTGTAGCTGTATGTGAATGTAAATGATCTGCAAAGTTGTAAAGCTGAAAGTGCACGATAAATAAAGTTATTGTCTCCCAAAATAAAGAATCGACTCTGAACAGCCTAAACAAGTCATTAGTAATTTGAATCCCACTTCCGTGATGGCTGCACGTCACTGGGTTACACAGTTGCATAATTCCCGCCTATGTGCTATATTGGCCGGCTACGAACAACTTGACCCCACCCTCAAACACGTCATTTTACTGACGACTGCTTCTCTAATCTCGGGGAGTTCAACACGGGATTCATAAAACGCTTGCTCTTGAATGATGAATCAGTTCTCAGTTTATTTGGACCAGCTGGCTCCACTAATCACAACCTGTAAGTATGATAAATAATAGATGTTTATATTTTCTATTGAGTGTTCAAAATATGGAATTATGGCAATGGGCATATTGTTTCCGACACGTGCTGTACGCGGTAGACCAATCACAACAGACTGGGCCATCTGACCAATCAGAGCAGAGTAGGCTCACGAAAAGGAGGGGGTTAGAGAGACTGAATCTTGGAACTGCCTCGAACAAATTTTTGACCTTGCATGCATGTAAACCTATTGTTGGAGACTCCCAAAACAATGGCATGAAAATGGCATAATAGGGGCACTTTAATTCTATATTTATTTTTAAATTTTCATTTTTATTTCATTTATTTATAAAAAAAATTAAAAAGAAAGAAAAAAAGAACTTAACTAACCATATCTTACCTTACCTAAACTAAACTTAAATTTTAACATTTCAGTTACTCATTTTGAACTAAAAATACTAACTGGAAAACTAAAACTGAAATAAAAATGAATTAAACCTAAACCGAAAGAAAGAAAGAAAAGTGCAAAATTACAAAAAATTAACTAAAATTAAAATTTAAAACTGAAAAGATATAATAATATATAAATAATACTGAAATAAAAATGAGTACTCCCATTGAGGTTGTTTGTTGTCTTCGAAATGCAATCACAGTATTTTACTAAGCTTAGCTGACTGACTGTCTGAGTTTACATGCCAAGTCTCCTCTAAAAACTCTAAACAGGAATTGAAAATCTGTGTCATTTACCAACTTCTTCTTTCACATGCTTTGAGACTCACAACTGCAGTCCAGTAATCCACTGTGTGTTTCTCTGTTTTCCAGGGCAGAGCTTATGAGACAGATAGTAATCAGGAGGGTTTTGTTCACCCTGATCCCGGGGACGTGAAAAGCTTCTTAGACGCTGTCAATGTTATTAAGCCCACTGCCATCATCGGTAAGACGAGCTGCTCCCTCTGTGTTAGTCAAGGATTGCACTAAAACTGTTGTCATTTAGTTTTTTATGACCATTTGAATTAAACAAGCTCCTTTTGTTGCTGTACCTTTAAGAATTGTGTATGCAAGTAAACATAGGTTGTCATTCTTTTACTGTTGCATATAGTTTATGCATATAGCTGAATGCATCGTGTATATATATATATATATATATATATATATATATATATATAACCCCTATATTCTGTATTAATATGTGCGTATGCATGTTTTGACCTCTTTCTCAATGTCATCAGGTGTGTCAGGTGCCGGCCGGCTCTTCACTCATGATGTCATCAGAGCAATGGGCAGCTTGAACGAGCATCCGATTATCTTCGCCCTCAGCAACCCGACTGCCAAGGCAGAGTGTACAGCTGAAGACGCCTACAGCCTCACACAGGTTAAATATCATTCATGCATTAACCCCACAAAGCCAGATTAAAATAATAGCCAGAAAAAAAATTGCATGTTTTTTTTTTTGTTGCAAATCATATTTGATACACCAGGCTTTTATGGCTCATATAGTATGTTATAGTGAGAATATGGAAGAAAAAACACCTCAGTTTAATTCAGAGGGTCAAGAAATTTGCATATCAAATAGCTCTAAAATCTGATCGGATGAACCAAAACTTTTAGTAAATTCAGCGTGAGAAAGTCCCAGTGTGGCTTTTGCTTTAATCACTACAGTGTTACAGTAATAACAGCATTAATACTCTCAGATGTACACAGAAAACATACATTACACCTGTAGTCATCCACGGATCTGATGTGTATATGGATTGTCATACCCGTAAGAATAGGAGTATGTGAATATAAGTGAAGACGTTTCTGTTTCAGGGAAGGTGTTTGTTTGCCAGTGGCAGTCCGTTTGCCCCGGTGTCACTAGAAGATGGCAGAATACTGACCCCTGGACAGGGCAACAATGCTTATATATTCCCAGGTATTAATGAATGAATGAATGAGCCCTTTATTGTCACTGATCACAGGTACCAGCGAAATTAGCCATCCACCTGTCCATACATACAATATGACAAGGGGGTAGACAGGACAGGAGGACAGGGAATTTTTTAGAAGAAATACAGCATAACATGAGGGAGGGGAGGAGATAAAAAAAAAAACAGACCCCAGACTATGCTCCTATGGGGAGCACAGTGTGGGAACAGGAAAAAAAAAACACCTCAGCAACATAAGCACATCAATACAGATACACACGACTTGCAACAGGGTAGGGGGATAGGGGGGGTGGAGGTAACCCAGCACAGGCAAGCAGCCATCCGGTCCTGCAGCCATTCTCGGCGCTGATCGCAGACCCGCTTGTCAGACTGGCGGAACAAAGCGGCGAAG